TGCACTCACTAATCTGCAGGAATGAGGATACAATTCCAGGAGATAGTTTATTACTGTGTCGGTTTAGCAAAATAATAGGACTTGGTTCTGTCCTCCCTTATTGCCTTTGACCTAGCCAGCTATATGTTTTTGAACTAGTTACTGACACCATATAAATCCAATCCGAAAGGGGTTGATTTCTCCCATAATATCCATGCCGCTATTACTGCTATTTTATCAATGGGTAAATCATGGCGGCTCAGCCGTTATTGTAAAAATCTCTGGGTTCACGGCTCAGTAAAACTATTAAGGACTCCTTACTAGACCTCATAGCATACATAGTCCTTTCCTGTACTTTGAAAGCTAGCCAGTAGGAATTAAGGTTCAAAGTCAGTGTTAATTTGATCTATTTATGTCCTAGAGCTCAAATATGTGGGGTCTTCAGTAAAGGGGTCCTCCAACCAAGTTCTCAAGTTAAATCATGAGCAATGGCTATAGCCTGTAATGTTTGTGAAAATGCTATCTACGAGACAAAAAAAAATGTAAAATTTAAATAGAATTTCCCTATTTTAGTATCTGTATTTGATTTCTTGTGATACCCTGAATGCTCTTAAGATCTTCGGCTTCTATACTTTGTTCTTAAAGCTCGTGGGCTCTATATCACTTGCATTACTTTGGCATGAATTATTTCTCTCTAAGTATTATGTTAACTCTTACTTAGAAGGTGAAATAATTCATTTTTTACATGTCTTCCTTTTCTTCAGTCAACCTCTGCTGAACGTATCAGTCTCTTCACTTAAGACCTCTATTTGTTTCAGTTTCTGTCTTTATTTTCATTCATTGATTTGCCAGATGAAATATTTTCTTTTTATCTCAACAATCAATAGAAAAGACATTTGTTACCACTATGAGGAAACAGCCTGCTCATATTCAATAAATCATTTCTTGTAACAAAAATAATGAACTAACTCAGCTCTACTAATCCCCTTATTTTGGGAGCATTAATAGACATTTATCTACCAACAAACAGCATATATAAATAATTTATTTTTAGAACAGTGCTCTTTATCAGAGAAATAGGTATGACTTTGTTTAGAGCAAAGGTCTAGTACTTTTAAGGGTACTCTTTCAAAGCAAAATTACTTAATTCATTGTAGATGTTTATTCGTTTTTTAAGAAGTACAGGTGAATTTTATTTAAAAGTACTTTAAAAGTATTTTACTCCTTACAAATAATTCTTTAAAAATACGCTATACGTTCAAGAGTTTGTTTCTGGAGGCGACATATTCTTTCTTCAGCAGCAGCCGTTGACCTCCAATGGGTGGACCATGTGGAATTTTGCATTTGCACTGGAGTCAAACAGTGTTGTCCTCATACTGTTCTTGATCCAGCAGGCACACTGTTGAGTTTTTTAATGGATGCATTTTCCCAGATATTTAACAATAAATAAAGCAAAAAAAAAAAAAAAAAAAACAGGGAACTCCTACAGCTGATAAACACCTTCAGCAAAGTGGCCAGATACAAAATTAACTCAAAAAAATCAGTAGCCCTCCTGTATACAAAAGACAAAAGAGCTGAGAAAGAAATTAGGGAAACAACACCCTTCACAATAGCCACAAATGACATAAAGTACCTTGGTGTAACCCTAACCAAGCAAGTCAAAGACTTGTATGAAAAAAAATTCAAGTCTCTGAAGAAAGAATTAGAAGAAAATATGAGAAGATGGAAAGATCTCCCATGCTCATGGCTTGGCAAGGTTAACATAGTAAAAATGGCCATCTTGCCAAAAGCAATCTACAGATCTAATGCAATTCCCATCAAATTGCCAACACAATTCTTTACAGACCTGGAAAGAAAAATTCTCAACTTCGTATGGATTAACAAGAAACCCAGAATTCTTAAAATAATCCTCTACAATAAAAGATCTTCTGGAGGTATCTCCATCCCTGATCTCAAGCTGTACTATAGAGCAACAGTTATAAAAACTGCATGGTACGGGCATAGAAACAGAATGGTGGATCAATGGAACCGAACAGAAGACCCAGAAATAAACCCACACACTTATGGACACCTGATTTTTGACAAAGATGCCAAAACCATACAATGGAAAAAAGATAGCATCTTCAACAAATGGTGCTGGTCCAACTGGATCTCTACATGTAGAAAAATCAAAATAGATCTGTACTTATCATTCTGCACAAAACTGAAGTCCAAGTGGATCAAAGACCTCAACATAAAACCAGACACATTAAATTGGCTAGAAAAAAAAGTGGGGAATACCCTAGAACTCATTGGTACAGGAGAAAACTTCCTGAACAGAACACCAACAGCACAGGCTCTAAGAGCAACAATCAATAAATCGGACCTCATGAAACTGAAAAGCTTCTGTAAAGCAAAGGACACCATCATCAAAGCAAAACGACTGCCTACAGATTGGGAAAGAATCATCACCAACCCTTTATCTGACAGAGGACTAATATCCAGTATATATAAAGAACTAAACAAGCTGAAAAGCAACAAACCAAGTAATCCACTTAAAAAATGGGGAACAGAGCTAAACAGAGAACTCTCTGTAGAGGAATATAGAATGGCAGAGAAGCATTTAAAGAAATGCTCAACCTCATTAGCCATTAGGGAAGTGCAAATCAAAACAACCATGAGATTTCACCTTACACCCATCAGAATGGCCAAGATGAAAAACTCAAGTGACAACACATGCTGGAGAGGTTGTGGAGAAAGGGGAACCCTCCTCCACTGCTGGTGGGAATGTAAACTTCTACAACCACTCTGGAAAGCAATCTGGCACTTTCTCAGACAACTAGGAATAGTGCTTCCTGAAGATCCAGCCATACCACTCCTAGGCATATATTTAAAAGAGGCTCAAGTACACAAAAAGGACATTTGCTCAACCATATTTGTAGCTGCTTTATTTGTAATAGCCAGAAGCTGGAAACAGCCCAGATGCCCCTCAACTGAAGAATGGATGCAGAAATTGTAGTACATCTATACAATGGTGTATTACTCAGCAATGAAAAATAAGGAAATCATGAAATTTGCAGGTAAATAGTGGGACCTGGAAAGGATCATCCTGAGTGAGTTGTCCCAGAAGCAAAAAGACACACGGTATATACTCACTCATATAAACATACAACATAGGATAAACCCACTAAAATCGGTACATCTAAACAAACTAAGCAAAAGAGAGGACCCTAACTAAAACGTTCAATCCCCATCCTGAAAGGCAAAGAGGATGGACATCAGAAGAAGAAGAAAACAGGAAACAACCTAGGAACCTGCTACAGAGGGCCTCTGAAAGCCAGAAGAAGAAAACAGGAAACAACCTAGGAACCTGCCACAGAGGGCCTCTGAAAGCCTCTGCCCTGCAGACTATCAAAACAGATGCTGAGCCTGATGGCCAACTGGCAGGCAGAGTGAATGGAATTTTATGTAAGAAGTGGGAAATAGCAAGAGCTGGAGAGGACAGGAACTCCACAAGGAGAGCAACAGAACAAGAAAATTTCAACACAGGGAACTTCCCAAAGACTCATACTCCAACCAAGGACTATTATTCATGGAGATAACCTAGAACCCCTGCACAGATGTAGCCCATGGCAGTTTAGTGTCCAAGAGGCTTACATAGTAATGGGAAGAGGAACTGCCTCTGACATAATCTGATTGGCCTGCTCTTTGATCACCTCCCCCTGAGGGCGGAGCAGCCTTACCAGGCCACAGAAGAAGACAATGCAGCCATTCCTGATGTGATCTGATAGACTGAGATTAGAAAGAAGGAGAGGAGGACCTCCCCTATCAGTGGACGTGGGGAGGAGCATGCATGAAGAAAGGGGAGTAGAGTGGGATCGGGAGGGGAGGAGGGAGGGGCTTATGGGGGGATACAAAATGAAAAAAGTGTAATTAATAATAATAATTTAATAATAATAAAGAAAGAAAAAAGGAAATATTTAGCATTCTCCTATCATTCAATAAAAGAAGAAAAGAAATATGAGTATAGAAGAAAATTTACTGGTGAATCAAAAATAAAACTGTTAAAAATAAAGTTTAAAAAAATCTGTTAAAAATATGATACCCTTTGATATGCAATTCATCGTATTCCCCAGGCAATTTTATTTTGCCCACAGATTACTAGTGGTGAAAGCTCTGACCGCAGAGACATTTTTTCTGGTTTCAGATAAGTGGCAGTGAGCCTTGGCTGAGCTTGTGACTGAATCTGCTCATCAACACTTATGCTTTTGAGTTTCCCTTTATGGGTTTGCTGTAGATGCTTTCTTTCTCACTGTGTCTGCCACAGGCGTTCCTACTAAGAGACAGGCCAGGCAGAGAGGTACTCCTTCCTTATGTAACATGGAAACTATAAAGGAATGTTCAAAGATAATCTAGAAAATGTTTTACTGTGCATTATTCATAAAGTATGGAATCATAAAATATTCAGTAGGCTACCAGTAATTTTTTAACATGAGTAAATATCAAGATTAGACAAATTAAGTCCCAGTAGGTGCATATGCACTAAACATTAGTATGTTTATTTGATTTTAAAACTCCATTAATGTATGCAATCATTATACATGACATGCCTCTTTTAAACCATTAAAATGTCTCCCTAAAGCATGTGTCCATGATGCTTTGCATACAGCCAGCAGTGGGATAGAAAATGAGTGAACACTGGCAAATTATGGTTATCTGAATTTTATAACAAAATACACTCTCTGATATTAAATATGAGTTGAGAAAAATAATTGAAAAGTAGACATATATGAAAAAAGAACAATGTACACGTGCAATTATTCATAAAACATCCATTATCTGATACAACCGAATGTCAGATATGTTCAGTTTCTACTTTCGTGGCTATACAGCTCAACAGAGACTGAAGAACTTTTGGTATGATAAAGTCACAGAACAAATTGTCGACATTGCTTTGCTGGAAACTTGGTGTCCTAATTTTTTATCTGTTGACAGATCTATTTAAGGTTGACAGCGTACTTTTATTTCTTTTCTTCCAATAGGAAGACCGGCCTGTATCTGTGCCTTGGGCTTTACTGGGCCCAACTGTGGCAAGACAGTCTGCGAAGATTCTTGTCACAATGGTGGGAGCTGTGTTGTGACTGCTGGGAATCAAGCCTATTGCCACTGCCAGTCGGACTACACTGGAGACAGATGCCAGTACTGTAAGTAAGAGCATCCTCCCACAGCATTCAAGCAGCAAGCTTTGATGTAAGCATTAACGAATACTATGTTTCACTTGTGTTTTCTTTCCTCTCTTCATTTCGCCACACCTCTTTTTTCAGGTTCATCATCCTGTCATTTAAACGCCAATAATTTTAATGTTTTTCAATCCTTTTCTAAAAGATTTTAATTTGTTTTCTTTCACAGCTAAAATTCAAAAGCCAATTATAATTGTTCCCATATGCATCTTTAACTCTCTTATTTCTACTTCTGGCAACCTGTGGGGATTATTATCTTTTCCCATACCTCACCTCTTCTAAGTAGCACAAAAGAGGGCAACTAGAAAATCCCAGAGGTGGTTCTGCTCGTCTCATCCTTGACTGCCTAGACAGAACCAGAATTTCTTTCTCCAGCTTCCTAGATGTTTTTTGTTGTTTGTTTGTTTCTAGAAAGGTTTTTCTGAAAACGTCAGATATAAAACATCCTATACCAGTTTCTTTTACTGCCAACTTTATTCTCCTGTTCTCACCTTCTCTTTTATCTGGTAGCAGCATTGTTTAAAAATATTTTTGTTGTTATATTTCTTTGTCTTTATTTCTATATTGACTTCGGTCACATTTCTGCCTTTGTAGTATTGTAGAAGCAGCTCTTATGAGTCTCCAGTTGGTTGATTTTTGCTATTTCCAGTGGTCAAGTCTCAATTTCTGTTTTACATTAGCTTTCATCAATTTATCAATTCTTGTTTTAAAAGATATTTTCTTTACTCATGTTTATAGACAGTATTTTCTCCACTACCCATTTATACTGTATTTGTTGCTTCTTTGCTGTGTCTTTTGTGAATCTTCACAAGGATAAATGTTTAATTCCAGCTTTAAACATTGATGTGACTAAAAGCACTATCTTCATCTCTATTTCTTCTCACTGCCAATATTAATGATTCCCATACAACATCTCACATTTTATAGTCAACTCAATTACTTTTCAAAATATTGTTTTCCAAGGAATCATTTTCCTGAGTCCATGAGTATATGTTATTTATTTACATACTTTTAGGTTTTTTTTATGGTCAAATAAATTTGGAAACCACTGTCTAGATGACTTTACTGATCTGCAGGGTCTTGAAGCACCTCAATGGTACCTATAAGTCTGTGTCTCCAGCTGAGCCTGTACTTTAAGTTTCAGGTCATCTCAATTTTCTGTGACAGCTAATCTTATCTCTCAATTAATCTGACTTTTTTTTCGCTGTGAATCCTCACACTATAGTACCTTTATCTTTAACAAGGAACATTCATTACTCAGTCCAAAATACTGAAGTCTTTGTTAAGTCCCCAGAGTGCTCCATAGCCTATCTTTGCCTTTAAAGCACACCCAGAATGTGAGCCCTGCTCCTTGACTCTGCTCTCACTCAGTCATCCAAGATGGCAGGACCTGTTTATCTGTTTTATTACTGACTTAATCATGTTTCCTCTCTTTGCCACTGGTGTATATTATCAAATTACAGTCACATCTGTATGTTTTATGTAAACTAAAATGTTTATCTCTTTTAAGCACATTCGTTTGAAATCTTTATACAATCATGTACTCAGGTAATTGTTTTCTTGTTTATCTCTTTGTTCTACAATGCACTGTTGTTTTTTTCTTTTTTATCATCCTTTCAAGAAGCTAGCAATAGTGCAGCATAAGAAGTCATTTTGATGGGATCCAGGTATAAATTATTACAGCCAAGATCTGCACCAGGCAATCAGCTTTCAGGACTCAACCCTTAAATTAACTTAATGTTCATCAAAGCATATCGCACATCTCTGATCGGTGAAGCACAGGGAACAGTACACAGCCAAGCTACTTGCATTCGTTTACTTGACAATGAAGCATTAATTGTCCTTCCGCATCATTACAGTGGAAAAATACCTGCTGTAGCAAGGAATGGTTAAGCTTCCATCTCCATTTCCTTTTTAGATGTTTATTTCTTTTCATCTAAGGATAAGCTCCTCTTGACAATAGACACGAGTCACTACTCTGTGTCTGCTGTACCTTTTTACTCAATTCTGTGTGTCCCAGACAGCATCCCATAAATTATCATCCTGTTATGCTAATGTACGATTGTCCCATATCCTCGTTTTCTCAACTCTCTCCCATCAGTGCAACAGAGGATGTCTACATAACTGCTTTCTACTAATTAATTAATTAATTACTACTACTTCATTAATTCCTTTTTTCTTTTGTGCTCAACAATTCTCACAGATATAATGCCGCTAGGAAATGAAGGGCAGTTCCAGCTATTGTCTCAAAAGGTGTTGAGTTTATAACCTCTCCTTTATTCTAGTAAGGCCACTGCCATTATTATCTCCCATAAAGATGCCTAATTCTATGTTATTTATTGTATATTCCTCAGATTTGAGGCTTCTTTGAAACTATACCGAGAAACAATAGCTGATGAATAAACCAATAAATAAAAACTTCACAGATAATGTCTTTAAATGACGGTAGCACAAAAATAATTAAAAGACAACCAATATATTGTATGAGAAAGTATCTGATCTATATATGGATAATCCATGGCAAGTGTGTGTGTGTGTAGTTGTTTTGCTTTGTTTTAAAGGCCTTGTATATTTCAAACTGACCCTAAACTCATATATATATAAAATCAAGAATGACCTTGAAGTTGTTGTCTTTAATCCTCCTTCCTATCTTCAGACCGATCAGACTACAGACACACCCAACACAGTTGATTTGGATTCAATTTTTTAAAACTTTCTTGGTTCATTAGCCTCTACCAATTGATGTATTCTACTCTATCAGTTATTTTTCTTTATTTTTTAATTGAATAATCAGTATTCTTGATTCTCTTTGAACTGCCTTAAAATGCAATATAGCCATCATTATAGAAATTTATGTTCTTGCAATGAACAAATTCGGTTAGTTTGCATCTTAATTGACAATTTAATAGAATCACAGTGTGTGGCAGCCCACTGCTTTACCAGACCCTGTTATCCTCACTATTAGCAGTCATGGTGGTTTCCGCCTTTTACTGCAAAACACTTACTTAAATTAACCAATTAATCCTTAGACAGAGGTTAAATAAGTTGCCCCAGGTCCTGAAGTAGTCAAAATTGGACACAAGGAGTTGTTGATCAAGATGTCAGCAAACATCCGGAAGAGCACTGATGCTTTGCCATTAAAATGACAAACCCAACATCTGAAGAAGTGTAATAAACCCAGAATCCATCAGTGTGAGTTCGCAAAGTTCAGTGGGCTGAGTGTTCTGTCGGAAGAGTGTTTGGTGTATACACTGATCCCCCAAGTAAATGAAGGAACGACAGAATGGCTCGTTATGATACCTAATTACAGGCCATCAGTGGGAGGTAAAACATCACTTCTCAGTTGTGCCGAGTTAAAACATCTCTCAACTTCAGTTGCAAGGTAAAAGCTAGAGGCCTGAATGCAAATTCATCTTAACAGTGTCTAGGGAGAAAAGAGAGGGAAAAAGCAGCAAAGCTAAATTTTAATATTCTTTAAGCTATTTGCTTAAGGAAAAATATAGCTGAATTTTCATATGGACTTAAAGTCAAGATTCCTGTTATCAATCAAAGCAAATAAGCGTATTTTTGTACATTGAAAAAGAGGTGTTAATTGTGAAATCAATATTTGAGTTTATTTTTTAATTAAATTTTTATTTTTTATATTAATGACAGTTTATTCACTTTGTATCCCAGCTGAGGCCTCCTCCTCCACCCCCTCCCAGTCACACCTTCCCTCCCTCTTCTTCTCTAAGTCTACTGATAGGAGAGGTCCTCCTCCCCTTCCATCTGAACCTAGCTTATCAAGTCTCATCAGCATTATCCTCCTCTGTGGCCTGGTAAGGCTGCTCCCCTTCAGGGGTTGGTCAAAGATCCTGACAAGGAGTTTATGTCAGAGACAGTCCCTGTTTCCTTTACTAGTGAACCCACTTGGATATTGAGCTGCCATGGGCTACATCTGAGCAGGGGTTCTAGGTTATATACATGAATGGTCCTTGGTTGGAGTATCAGTCTCAGAAAAGACCCCTGTGCCCAGATATTTTGGTTCTGTTGCTCTCCTTGTGGAGCACCTGTCCTCTCTAGGTCTTACTATCTCCCCACTTCTTTCATAGGATTCCCCTGCACTCTGCCCAAAGTTTGGTTCTGAGTCTCTGAGCTCATCTTTAATTAAAGATTTGAGAGGCTTCACCTGGCAGCAGGTCAAAGCAGATGCTGGACTCACAGCCAAACATTGAATGAAGCCTATGGAGTCTTGTGAAAATGTGGGGGGAAGGACAGAAGGACCTGGAGCTGACAAGAGCTCTACAAGAAGACCAACAGTGCCAACTAACCAGGGCCCAACGAGGCTTCTGGTGACTGAAGCACCAGCCAAGGATATAGGCCCCGACACAGATGTAGCTGGTGGGCAGCTCAGGCTTCACACAAGTCACCTAGTATGGAGAGCAGGAACAGTCTCTCGTACAGACTCTCTTGCATGCCTTTTGATCACTTCCCACTGGCAGGGCTGAGTCACCAGGCCACAAGGGAAGAGGGTGAAATTAGTCTTGATGAGACTTGGTGACCTGGGGTGGGTTGGTAGGAGGAATTCCTCCTTTCTGAGGAATAGGGAAGAGGAAAGAGAAATGAATGAAGGAGGGAGGGTTAGATCAGGAGGAGGGGGAAGGGATTATGATACATATGTAAAATGAAGAAATGAATTAATTTTTGTAAACATTTTTAAAAGATTTATTTATTTTTTATCTATTATTTATAAAGTAACCTGACTGTGTGTGTACTTGAACACTAGAAGAAAGTACCAGATCTTATTATAGATGCTTAATTATGAGCCACCATGTGGTTGTTGGGATTTGAACTAAGGACCTTTGGAAGAAGGGCCAATGCTCTTAACCTCTGAGCCACCTCCAGCCCCTAAATTTATTAATTAAAAAACAAAAAGATAGTTGCACTACAGCAAAGCATCCATTAAGTCTGTTTACTCTGCTGTT